TATATATATATATATATATATATATATAATATATATTATATATATATATATGCGAGTTTATACGCATATTTATACATGTGCATACATACATATATACATATTATACCACATATATATATATATATATATATATAATATATATTATATATATATATACATATTATATATGAATAAATAAAAACATATATATATATATATATTGTATGTATATATTATGTATATATGTATACATACATATATACAAAATAATATATATATATATATATATATATATATATATATATGCATGTATTAATATATATTATACAAATGAATTATATATATATATATATTATATATATATATATATGTATGTATGTATGCATTGTATGTATGTAATATATACATATATACAAATGAAGAATAAGAATATGCATATAATACACACACACACACACACACACAACACACACACACACACACACACACACACGAGAGAGAGAGAGAGAGAGAGAGAGAGAGGAGAGAGAGAGAGAGAGAGAGACGGAGAGAGAGAGAGAGAGAGGAGAGAGAGAGAGAGCGAGAGAGAGAGAGGACAGACAGAAGAGAGACAGAGACAGACAGAAGAGAGAGAGAGAGAGAGAGAGAGAGACAGAGAGAGAGAGAGAGAGAGAGAGAGAGAGAGAGAGAGAGAGAGAGAGAGAGAGAGAGAGAGAGAGAGAGAGAGAGAGAGAGAGAGAGAAGAGAAGAGAGAGAGAGAGAGCATCAATAGAATTATATAAGAATGATGTTGTCTTTTTATAATCACCCAGATGATTAGACCCTTTTCCACATGAAATTGAGAAAATGTGTAAAACTCCTAAATGGTACATTTATCTATATGTATGTAAATCAGTAAGATATTTGAAAACAAATTCAGTAAGAAATTTCAAAACAAATTCTAATTCTAATTGATAAAAGGTGATCTACCTGATTAAAATATAAGTAATGAAAATAAAAACTAAATATTTTTCTATGGAATATGAAATATACTTAAGTTTTCCCTCCTTTTCCCATTCTTGTTTTTGCCTCTAGTTGGGGGGACTAAAAGAAACTGCGAAACTAATTTATAACGAATTTATGTACACGAGTCAAAACATATAAGGATATATCTCGTTTGAATATATGCTTCCGTCCCTTTCTCCACATACAAATATACGTATTGGGATGAAGTAAGTAATTTCTGGTGTCATTCTTCATTCATAATTCACTTCTTACTGTTGTATTTCATATAGGCCTATAAACCACTCCTTCCCATAGCTGTTAGATTGTGTCACCATCCATCGGTTCGTAATATGCATTCACAATCTATAATCTTCTGTATGATGATGTTAAACCTGTGAAAATGTGACTTTGAATGGAATTGAGGATGTTGAAAATGTTGCACATGGACACCAGTGGAAATAAATGACATTCTTGTTAATTATACTTTCATTCTGTATCAGGTACACTAGATAAGCAGAGACAAATGAAAACATACACAGTACACAACAGGTAGCGAATTGCAGTTTGCATATGCTAATTATATACCCCATAAAACCGTACGAATTAGCGAAACCGCAAACAAACCGCTAATGACATGCATCCCAACGCATCATCCACCGACAATAAACCATATCTTGCGTACAGACGAAAATTACTATCATCAACGACAGAAAAATATCTTCATTTCGACATACCATCCGCCAGCAGTTGCCATCTATTGCTCACAAACGTCGAATATATACATTATCAACAACAAATACATCTAGAAAGAGCATAAGTTGTGATGTTATTAATAACTGGTCACTCTGTCAGTGTGTTTGTTATTTTTGAGCATTTTACTTAACCTATGTATACGTTTTTTTTTCTTTTTTTGCTTGTTTGTTTGTTTACTTTGTCATATGAGAGCTACTGAACTTGTATAAATCGTGGTTCGTTCTTTGTATATATTGTATCATATGCTTGGTTTTCATTCGTCCATGTTTGGTATAAATCAAAACAATAATAAACAGACTGTGCTAAACCTTGGTATCTTCCTTGTTTTCCACTAGAATGTAATGTTTAACCTTCTTAATTTTCTCCTTAAACGTATTCCATGTTTTAAGATTTATTTGCTTTTGTTTCCATTTTTTTCAAAACATCACACTGAAAAGAATATATTTTATAATCTGTTAGGAGAGTGTGAATACATGGAGAGCTCTAAAGAATACTATTCTTTAACCAAAGGATGTGACGCCGAGTGGTATATGAAAAAAGCCAATTTTATTATGCTGTATAATCTTTCAAATGCACTCGTTTGATATCTAATATAAATAATCTGGCATTTGGAATTTTTTTCTTTTTTTTTCTTTTTGTCCACATCCCCCAAAAACCTCAAGAAGACCTTGCATTTTTTTTTTTTTTTTTTTACGTAATTTGATCCTGTTACAATTCGCGGAACATTCAAGCAATTATACAACATTGGAGCTATAATTGTCGGTGTATTTTTTTATTATTATCA